TATATAGATGGATACAGAAGATGGTCTGGAAAATGTAAAACAAAGCACACATACGCTTATCTATTTTGCATTTCCTATATCCATCAGAAATGTGTAGATGTGTACAATTGTTTTCTTCTCACACATACAAGGAAAACAAGATGTTAGAAAATCTTGGTAACAGTTTTGTTTGCTCATTGAGACAATTTTATTTTAATTTTAAAGGTTAATATTAAAACAGGGTATATTTAATATTTACTGCAGTCAGTCATTTTAACTGCAGTTTTTTTTTAATTGCACATTTTAAATGAGAAGAGAAATTATGATTTATTGAAAACCTTTTTTTTTTTTTTAATATGTAATAAAATGCAGAACATTTTAGTACAAGATTTGTGTATAGTTTACAACACAAAAAGTTATAATTATTAGATGCAAACATAATAAACTAATATTTAATATTTTAACTAATAAATAATAAACGTGTGCAATATTTAACCTTAATTTAGGTTTAATTCCAAGTAAAAATGCTTCAAAGAAAATCACACATGGATCTTTTAAAGTGAAAAGCAACATGCATCAAACTGCCACTTGAATTAAAAGAGCATTTTAATTTGAGATCAGCAATACCCAAAGGCTGGATTTCCCCCATTTTTAACATAAAATTAATTCAAAATTTACTTTTAAAACACATTTAATTTAGTAACAAACATATATGCAATAGAAGACCATAAATTCACAGAGATTATGACCTGAAATAGAAGAGATTTCAGATCATAAATAACAAATAATTAAACTCAGTCTGGAAAAAAGAATAAATGAAAGATGTAAATGTAACATACATGTAAAAATTAAATTTGTTTTTGTCATTTTTATACAGTTATGTATATTAAATATATAGACAGAATCGACTTCAATTAATTTTATAATGAAATACACATATATGTACTATACTTTTAGATAAAAAGAAAATGAAATTAAAAAACATAAAAAAATTATTTGTTTATCAAAAATATGGTTCATATTAGTTTGTTTCAAAACTTTATAACATTCTAACATTAAGATTCCTTAACCCCAACCAAAAAATTAAGCAGAATAATTATTTTCCAATCAGTTAAAATAATTTTGATGTTCTAAATTCTTTCTTGAACTTCATTTATTTATTTTATTACTAACATGGAAATTGTTAGTTTATTTAGGATTTGTCATTCTGATATCCCCCAAAAAGATAATTTTGATTGTTATAATTGAAAATTCAACTCTTTTAATTTAGCCTGATTAAAACAGCATAGATGTAATCCTCAATGAAAAGTACCAAATCAGTTATGTTTGGTAAAACATTTATTCGATGACAGTTGTAAAAGTGATTATCAATAGAATTGTAGCTTAAATAAATACTCAAAAAGGAAAATTTTCACCAACAATTGTCTAAGCCTTCTTTCTGTATGTTCCCAACTAAAAAGCAATCTTAATATTCAAAGTCACCCATAATGGCACTTTTTCAACTCAGTCTTTTCACTTTCGCTTAAATTTTATTATTTCTTCTTCTAAACCAACAAGCAGCTGAAAACCTCTTCCATAACTGATGTTTTTCTTTGTTCTGATGTCATTACATATGTACTTATTATTAATTTGAAAACTTCTATGGTTTTGCTTTCTTATTAATTATGAATTTCACTGTTGAAATCTGATAGGCTGTACAGATTTCAAGTCAGTGGATTTTAGGTCTTCTGATGTACACATCACAGAAAGGTATAAATATGAAGTAAATTTAAACAGCACTACATAATTCAACATTACTTACCTGAATTAATGAAAACAACTTCAAACTAACCACTTCATTATGAGTCTTAAAATCATACCATGTTGTTGTCTGGTCAATATACACAGTAATTCTAAAGGTAAAATGTATATATTTAGGAAATTTGTTTTACCTAATAAACGTACATCAAAACATGCATAAGAGTGAAATTGACAAAAATAATAATCAAGATAGGAATAAATGAGGAAGAGCATTATGGGTCATACTTTCTCAGACACAAATTATGCCTCTGATTTGCTCGAATAGAAAATGAGTTTGTATGAAATAAATTCCTTCAGAATATTAACCTAATTAGCTTGAGCACACTGAAAGGTTCTTTGTACTGAACTGGAACTAAGACTCAAATGTCGATTACGATTTTGACATACTTTTCTGTAGTGTTGCAATCATATTTAAGTTTATTTTGCAAGTTGTGTGCCATAAAAAAGTAAAATGTTTGTATAAACAAACAGTCATATAAAACAGAATATGTAGAATAAACAGAAATATGTAGAAAGTAACTGTATGTATTTAAATGTTAATAAGTTACTTTAGGAATGCTCATCTTTCTTTAAGATTATAGCGATTTTTTTTCCATTTAAAGAGAAATAAATATGAATAAAGAATAAATTTTGAGCATGGTTTCTAAGGAGAGTAAAAGGAGAGTAATACATACTACATATCCAATAATGATTTAAAAAAAGGATAAATTTAAGTTTTCAACTTTATAACTATTATAAGAAAGGGAAGAAGTGACAGAGGACGGCAAGGTCTTATGACAACATTTAGTCTCATGAAAAGTGACACGAACTCTTCATTTATAGCAGCGGTTACATAATATGCTCGAATGTTCTCAAAAGTACTGGTCTAGGTCGAAAGCACTGGTCCTGAAATTGTGGAAAGTTACTTAGAGGTTACCAGTTAATGTAGAACAAAGCCATCATATTTTTTATAGAAAACATTCAGGACAATGCCCTATCATAACTCATGATCTTTCTCATATAATTAGAAACTTTTTAATTATATAATTTTACAATGGAACCTACGATTTATAAATAAACATATAATTTATAAGTAAATATCTAATTTTAGAACTATAAGATAATAGTATCTATACTAATACTAAATAATAAATTCAAATAATAAAATTCCTCAATTTTCTTCAAAATGTTCATTGAAAAGTGAAATTTTTGTTTTAAAGTCCTTTTCATAAAAATAGTTGAAGTCGAATGAAAATACTGGTTCAAGTCTCTTGATGTCAATAAATCCACAAGATAAAAATAAGTCCACAACACTTTTTGCAATGAAGATGGTTCCATAGTAAGTTTTGAATAGGAGATGTTTAAAAATTTTATGGGGAACATCTTGTCATATAAAACTTAAAAGATATACAATTTATGCGTAATGTACTACTTGCATTCATTCTTCTCATTGTAGGTAATCAAGAATACATTGGCATATTTTAAGCAATATAAAAATTCAATACAAAACATTATAATATAATACCTTAAGAAAATTATTCAATATAAATCTCTAATAATATGATGCAATATTATAATAAGACAATAACACCTTGAAATAAATCTTTGGCATGTACTCTCCAACAAATCAGCATTGACTAATTTGCTGATGTTTAGGGGGTGCTTAAGTACAAAATATCAAAAAAACCTCCATTGCCTAGTAAAAGGTAACTGGTTTTTGGCATTGTACATTGTATCAAAGTGTTCTGTAAAAAATACAAAATACTACAAAATAAAATTTAAGACAAATAATTTGTGTACTCAAGTTAAAGTCTCTTTTAAAATTTTGGAAACTAAAAATGAATATTATCCTACAACAAGAAGAAAGAAAAGAAAATTTTATTACAGAATTATGTAGGAAAGAATAAGAAATTTTTTTTCTAAAATTATGTGAAAAATATGTGTTTTTGTGTGTGTCTGTGTCTGGTAACACTTCTGTGCTAAACTATGATCAGAGGATGGTGGGTGGTATGGAAAATATGCAACAACTCAAGCCAGTTTCTTAACCATAGTCGACTCTCCTAACAATAAAATAAAAAGATAAAAATTTTGAGGGGGTGTTAGGAGTATTACCTAGAAGGGGGGCATTGGGCATGTGCTATTACTTCTTACTTCCTCTTTAAAGAGAGGACACAAGAAGTAATACACATAATGTAATATCTAGTGTCGGAAAAAAATATAGAAACATTTGTCTTTACTGAGAATCTGGTATGAGGGCCAGATTTTCAATGCAATGCAAAAATGGGTTAGAATTTTCCCTCTCCTCATCTCCTGGGCGAAGGGGGCTGTATACAACAAATTTTGAAAGGGAAAACTCTAGGAAGCAGGAAAGGAGCCAGACTGGGAAACGATCAAGATCGAGAAAATAATTTGTCATACTTAGGGTATAGGTCTAAATCAAGTATTAAAAGGACATATTCGGGGAAAAATTTAATAGAGAATTTTGAAAAATTAAAGTAAAATTAATTTTGGACAGAGATAGGAATTCTAATATTTCTAACAGTTAATTTAAATTCACTTGCCGGATTAAAAGGTCTTAGTCTGGCTGATTGAGCAATTTCTGATTTCTTTTTTTGTTTGAGGATTAGGTTTATCAATTTCGTAAGTAACTTCAGAATATTGTTTTAAAATTTTGTAAAGTCCTGAGAAAGGAGGAGAAAGTTTACGTGTATTTGGATATTGAAATTCTTCATTATTCTAAATCATTTTAAAATTACTAGGTTTATAATGCGTAACATATCTTTCTTTATTTACATTATGATAATCATCAGATCTTTTTTGAGCAATTTTTCTAGCCTCTTCTATTGGTGGATACAATTCTTGATTTTGAAGTAAGGAATCATAAGGTAATTTTCCATACATTAAGTATGAAGGTGAGAATTTTGTTACAAAATGAGGAGTGTTATAATATTCTTCAGTTACTTGGAGTAATAATTTTGTCCATGCAGTATTACCTTGATAAGAATTTAGTTTACATTTTAATATAATTATAATTATTTGATTAACACTTTCAACTTTACCATTAGTTTGGAGTCTATTTGCAGTAGTTAAGTCAGTCGTTAATTCGGACACCCATAATCCGGAATGATCTATAATCCGAACCTCAAAGCAACAAACTTTTCTCAAAACAAAAACGGATGCACGTTTAATGTATAACGGACGGTATAAGCTAAGCTAAGCTAAAATTATCTAATTCAGTTAATGTTGCAGATTGCGTTGTTCCTTAATCTTTGAATTGGATCTGGCTTATTATTTTTTTCAGACTGTTAGAGAAATTTTATAAAAGTAAGCTTGACTTTTGATTATGTCAAATAGAATTTCAGATACATATTTACTAACATGTAAAGGATCTACAAAGTGAAAGTATGTTTTGAAATCCGAAATCTGTTTATCAATTTCACGCTGCTCTGCGGCAGGGGGGAGGGGGAGAAATGCCGCGGCACGCAATGAATTGGAAGTTGATCTGTTAGCATTATCTTCAGGGCAGATGTTTTTATTTTATTTGGCTTATAATTCCTTATTAAATGTAGTATTTCATCTCGACGTACTCCATCTTTGTGGAACTTTGTAACTAAACAAGAAATTATGTCTGTTTAATAGAATTAAAGAGAAAGTATTATCACATGAAACGAAGCAACTTAAACAACTTACATTGAAAGAAATGTTTAATAAAGTAAACAAATAAATATAAAGCTTTTCTTTTTGTAAATTTTGATACCCTTTAGATTATAATTGTTCTTTATTTATAAATTATGGTTTCATATTTTTTAATTTTGTAATTTCTGCATGCCATCTTACCAGATTTAAACTGATGATCTATAATCCAGAATCACCGAAGTCCCGACAAATCCGGATTAACGACTTTTGACTGTAATTATTTTACATTATGATTCCTTAAAAAGTGCTTAAATTTTGAAGATGTAAAAGCAGCATTCCTATCATTTAAAATTTTCTTTGCTACCTGAATTTGAAAAATTTGTCTTAAGCAATTTATCTAAGTATCATTAGTTACACTTGTAGAAGCAAAAGTCCAAATATATCTGGTTGCATGATCAATAATTATGTGAATATACTTTTTAGTAGAATTACAATAATTTAAACCACCCACCACAGAACACAGAAATTTGATTAGATAAATAAAATAATTTGCTATTCGATTTATCTTCAATTGGTTCAAATTTTTTACCAATACACTTAAAAATATTGTAAAAGAATGTTTACCTGGGAACCTGTGTCAATAATCAGTGGTAGATTTTGTTGTCCAATTTGGACATTAACTTTAAAATAGCATCACTTTTCTGTTCATTTTTTGGCATTGTATTGCGATAGCTTAAAGAAGGTACTGGTTGAAATTAAGCGGCCTATACAGATACTGCATTGGTTGTGGTCGCACACTTCTGAAATTTGGATACAAATGTGGATTTGATTGAAATGGTCATACAGAATATCTAAATGGTTCTTGCCTAGGAGTAATAAATCTGTGATCTCTATATGCACTTGGTACTTCCTCCAGTGGCACTGAAATTTGGAATAGTTTGCGAGCTATCTCATTCCATTTTTTCAGAGTATTTAATTTCTTAATAGTTCATGACATGAGCTGGGCTTTGGGAAAACCCTGATTGAGGGCTTCCTTCGACCATTGTAGCATCATTCAATTTTAAATTGGATCTATATCTTAATTTATTAGGAAAGTAGATATCAATATTATTAATTTTTTTGTATTTGACAGATACAAAGCCATTAAATGTTATTACCTCTCCAATGGAAAAGTATGTATTGAATTTTTCTTTTAACTGATTGGCAGTCTTTTTCTAAGTACTCGTGAAAGAAGTACGCGAGTGCTTCTCCTCTCAGACCCTCCGAGAATACACGCAGTCCTTATCTTGGATATTTTTTGCTTCACATTTCTTTTCGAATAGTAAAATATAATTATCCACGGGAATCTCACTTTTGGAGCCATAAAAAATTTGAAACTGAAATTTGGTTATATCTATAGTGGTTGTCGCTTCTTGAGTATTTGTTGGCATTGCAGCTTTAGCTCTTGTTTCAATTTTTTTTCTTTTTAAACACCGAT